TGTGTTCACTGCGCAGTAGAAAAACGTTTTAGTACATTGTTCCCGCTAATTGATGATACTAAAAAAATGTAAACAACAACAAAAAAAAATGTAAAAAATAGGCAAACAACAAAAATACTAGCATAACATGTTTACCTAGAATATTTTTTATATATAATACAAGTATATATCTGGATTTTAGATTAAATTTTGCTAGATCTCATGCGAGACTGATACAAGTGATATTATATATAAGAAATATTGAATAAAACCCGTATTAGCTGTGTAAATGTCGACACAGGTCTGTCAAAGTTTTAGAGGGAGATCAAAAAACACTAGTTTTAAGTATGTAATCTGTTGCTAATTCTATGATATTCTTTATTCTATTTGATACTTAGTCTTAAATGAAATAAGATTTGATTTTTATTTTGGGTCACTTATGTTCTTTTCTTTCAAGAGCAAGAATTTGGATACAGTTTATAAAGGTTTTTATTAAGTATTAATTTTTCCATTTCATTGGTAGTTCTTTGTCTAAAAAGTAGGGAATAAAATCTGAACTGAATCACAGTAACACTGGGAAAATGTCTCATATTTATGGGTAGATCACGATATACAGCACATTAAACGTGATGCATTAGAGGGTGATATGATGAAGATATGTCATCGGGTTGGGTTACTTCTTGGGGGTTGTTTTATGGCTGCCTGCCAAGATGCGTGTAAGTAGTAAATATAGACATATAAAAACTACATAGGGCTCTGTGGGGATTTGTACTTTCGGTTCAAATAGCTTTTTAGGCCGTTACCAGAGCAATGGCTCACTGGAGGCGCGGAGGCGGTTGCTGCTGTTGGAGAATGGGCGGTGATGTTGCTGTCGCAGCACTGGCACTGAGGACGCTCTTGATGGCCGTGGTCTTGAGCAATCGTTTGAGCATTCCGCTTGAACCGCGGTGTTGAAGACTCTTGTGGGTGGTGAGCGAGTTCTTGGTGCGATATCGTCGATGGCAGAACTCACAGAGGTACAAGGTGTCCGATTGTTCATGCTTATCTTGAAAGTGCCTCTTGAGCGAGTAGTAGCAGCTGAAAGTGCGCCGACAGTAAGGGCACTCCTGGGGTTCGTTGATGCCTCCGGAGGTGGGGGGCGGCATCCGCACCGGCCCTGCAACAGCAGCACAGGGCTGTGGTGGAGTGGGCGAAGTCGGTGGGGACAACAACTGGGGCGAACATGCAGGCTGGTGGCGGCAGCAAGCGGCACAATTCATTACTACACATAGAGCTGCGGTAGCGGCAAGCGGGGTAAAAAAGGGGCTATGGATGGTACCTGGGAGTGTGGTCGAAGGCAGCGGCTGGGGCAGGTGCTCTGGCTAAAAGAACTTAATGTCGATATCCCCGGGACGCGACTTGTGGTACGTGTAGATGTGCGTCATTAGAGAATTCCGGGAGCAGTAAACGCGCTCGCAGATGACACATCGGTACTCCTCTTGTCGTTCTGCATGCTTGTCAGCAATGTGTCGCTTGAGGGACGCCTTAGAGCACAGCACCTTACCGCACAGCTGGCATGTGAACACCTTCTTGGGCGACGCCCCTGCAACAGCAAAACCAAGCTCGCACTGGTCTGTTCGCGCGTGTTGCCACCAGCAGATTTACTAGTTTTAATCTACTAATTATTTTTTAAATTCAAAATCGCGATTTAAAATTACTTTAACAAAATTTTTTGTCTTTAAAATAAAAAAATGCCGGCGCCATCTTAATGACCGCACACTCGCGATCTGGCCATGCGACCTCAGCATTTCTGTTCGCAGGTTCGTTTAAATAATACCACCGTATTTTCGATACCGATGACGATAAAAAATGATTTTTAAATTTATTTATTTGTTATATCGGATTTTTAAATCCATTCACTGCAATATAAATTTTACAAAAAATTGTTATAATCCATTTAACTATTCTGCAGAGAACTGCTGAAAAAGTTTGACATTACACGAGAGATTCGGCTCATAAACCTTTCAAAAAACACTAACAGCTAAAAATCCATTGGGAATATTTCATCTCTTTCTCAAAAGTCTAATAAAAAATAGTGCCAGCGGCGATGTTTCTGTTATAGTGAATTGTAGCAATTATTGAAACGTGTTTTTCCAGACGTCGTTTTTAATCCAAGATTTATATGTATTGGATAATACTTTTTGTTGTTAAATACTCTTACCCTCGGTAAGAGAGTTAATAAAATATACATTTACATTTAAAGTTTCATAAAAATGTAACATGACTGTAATGCACTTGCCTTTCCTTCAGTAATTTTTGAGATATTCAAACTGGCAACAAGTTTTAAAATAGTTAAAAAGACATGTTTTATAGGATTTTATGTTATTATTTTAAAAGGTTTAAGTGCTTAAATCACCTTGTGTAACGTCGCAACTTAATTTAGTAGTTTATTTCAAATAAATTTCGACACAATTCAGTAAATCACTTGCAGGGATAAACTGAAAGTGTACTAACAGTATACAAATGCCATGAAAGAAGGCTGATTGATGAGTATGAAAAAATATATCAGAATATAGAAGCCAGGGAACAGTTTCTATATTTGATACTGTTGCCTAACTTCTGGTTGTAATAAAAAATTATTTTATCTTTAAACTTTTTAAACCACTGTCGAATAGGTAGATGAATTAATACAATTTTATTAAGATACTACACGGATCCAAAATGTAAATAAATTAATATTAAAAGAACTAGAATGGTGCAAAATTCTGTAAATATTTAGTATGCTTAAGAAGATATTAAAATTAAAAAAAAAACAAATGGCAGATGAGTCTTGAGTTTCATAATTCCAAAAAAATGAAGGAAAGTAAGGAACAAGAACTAGGCAGTTAATCTAAATGATGCATTGAACAAAAAAGAAGTAACGACGAATAGAAAGACACTTCCTTTTCTTAGTTAAGTAACAATTTTTGTTGTCCAAAATTAAAATATTGGTTGTATCATTTTTTACTTTGGCAAAATTTTCGACCTCGATCACCAATATATTTAAAAACAGTTTTTAAAAATAGTTCAAAGATGATATATTCCACATAAGAAGCTTTTAATTGTCAAATAGAGTGTATTTTGTACATTTTATAGATTAAAGATAATATTTTTAAATATCACTGGAACTAAAATACGAGTACCAGAGGCAACGGATGGAGTACCTAACAGAA